CTGCCGTGAAATGGGCACATCAGCCCACTACCAGCGCTGTATGTATAGCTTGACAACATTCAATCATTTATCTTCATTATATTTGTTGATCATTTCGTTCACCCTATACATACACAATACAAACGTACCATAATTGAGCACAAAAATAGCTCTTTAGATTTCTGAAAGTTTCTTTGCGCCCCTAACAATATACCGTATTTTTATGGCTGGAATGTTGACGTCTGGGAGTGTTTTGTTAACAGGTCTCCCTTTGATTGACTCAGACCTTTAACAGAGTTAGGGAAGGCGAGACAACGAAAAAAAGTTTAACAAACGGTACAAGCAGTCCGTATTTCGAATTTACCATTAGAAGGATCGAAGTTGAGGCCGTATTAATGTTGTTAGAAAGAAGTCATTATCTTTATGTTAGACGACAGGCTTTAGTCAGATGATGTGATACAAGCAATTCGATTGTCGAAAGCTGCGTTTTGTGAGCTTTTGTCATCGCTTTATAAAGTTAAATAACTGTATCATCGCTTAATAAGTGCTGCCGGCTGAACAATTCTCAAAAATAGCTCTTTGGGAAATGTCGACCAGCGCCGCCGCTAACGACCTACCTGTAAAATGGTTGCAGAATTTACTCAGAAGCGGAACCAAAAATTTGCACAAATCAATGAGGGCTTCTGCGACCCACGCGCGGCAGTACGAGGCCACGAATCGAAGGGAAACAAATCAGTTAAACTGATGCGTCGTTACTCGCTCTGCTGCCCACGGGCTGAAGAACAGATAATGAATACTCTGCATATGTAAAATACGATGATAGATATGATGACTTTGGCTGCCCTTTTATACCATCCTTGAGACTCTTGGTAAATTGTTAAGATGGACGTTTACAAATAGAAGTTGCTCTTACGAATCATATAACACGAAGTGTGCTTATGTTTCTATGTTCGACTTAAGCTTGTGGTATTGTGTTGTTAACCTGACTACGTGGAGCGTTTGAGCATGGACTGATGATTCACGCGACGGAGATCTTCAACCAAACAGAATTAATAAGAACGTGATTTTCTTGTTAGCACGTTAAGTATTTCACGATATTATATAGCTAAAACTATTTAGCATCTCGTAAAAGTCATTGGATAATTACAAACTTAACATTATTATAGTGTGGGAGAAATCAAGTGAACGGCAAAACGCGGTTTTCAGGTCCAGATGTTCTAGTCTAAAGCTGCGACTCAAGTTTCGAGCATCACAGAAAAACTTTTTCCATGTCCAAGGTTTTCAGCTGTCCTTCCTGATAACAAATCCTGGTACCGCAGTTTTAGTATTTCTGCATGGGTCAATCGGGGCAGCAGAGGCCGTAATATGATCAATCCGGAGGGGCCGAGTGGGAGAAGGGATTAGTATATTGATTACCTTTTTTATTACCCGAACTTTTGCTAGAGGGTCCACGTAAAGCTGTGTTTAGGTTTAAGCCAAAGCCACATTTGTACCCTTCGAATTGACAGACAAATAGGTTACTACCGGACAATTGCAGAAACAAATCTTGCACATACAACAACATTTAGCAGCGTCAAAGAGTTGTCACCGAATTGATGAATAACCGTCCTTCTCCGGCCTCGTATTTACGCCGATGTGTCGCCTAATGGTACGTCTCGACAACTGTATGTTTTCTTTCGGATCTGATTTCTAGTTTCTAGTAATCGCCACGCGTGTCAATAAGCTTCTCGAGCACAGCAGAAGTTACATGCGAGTAACTTTAATTATCTTTGGATCAAAACAAGTTTGGAACGGTTTCAGGCATTCAAGTTGATTTTAGCTCTATTCAGCTGCAGCTGCAGTTAGTTATGTGCAAGTAAAGTAATGATTTAGTTTTAAACTAATGGTGAAATCTGAACCATTCGCTAACTTTCTCTGAAACGGCTTCGCGGAAAAGGACAAATTTTAAGTTCTCTTTCTGAACCGACTTTCGTTCTCTGAAAGCTTCAGCCGCTGTCAAATCTGGCCAACCTAGAATTGCTCATGACAATAGCGCACGCGAAGAGTTCTGGCGCCCGCCGACTATTTCGAGTCTTTGGCGCGAATGAGTGTACGATGGAGAGCGATGTTGACGAAAATAACGAAATGACGTTGGGGACGTCTTCGAATTTTGCTAGACCTCTCGCTTCTTCCACCACAATACCAGTAAACCACCAATTAAACTCGAGTACCTAAAAATCTCTCGAGTACAGGCGCATAGCAACAGAGCTTACCATCAATGAGCAGTAGATTCTGTTCGGCTTCACCAAATATATATACATCTAGAAAGGCACCTCGAGCTGTGCGTGAGCACGTTGAGACCGCATAGCAAACAAACACGGTGAACAAAAAAGTTTCTACGAGGTATTAACGTCTGCTGGGTTTTCTAGGTTGACAGATTTTCTGGACACAGCCTGTCGACAGATTGCATAAACTGGCTTATTACTGAACAGTGATTATTTATTTAGACATTAGGAATCCGGGCACATAGTTTCAGCGTATGGAGAAGTGGTCGAATGGATGTCTTCTTACTGTATTAGTAATATTTATTCCCAGTCAGTTAATCACATGGCTAATCCTGATGTTTTTAGAGAAAAGTGTAGGCATGCGAACCTTTTATAAGGAGCGAATCAGCTTGCTGGCCTAGATAGGGCAAACAGCTGTCATCATGGCGAAGGACTTTTGCGAATAGTGCAGTAGTAGACTTTGCGGCCAGATGGATACGCCGTTTGACGGCGCTATTGTTTTTTTGTATAGATCGGTTCTGCCCTGAGTGGCTCCACTGTGTTTTCTAGCTGCTATGTTGTATTACGGCTTCAATCTGGATACTTTCAAATGGCCAACGTTTTTATTTTAGTGACTACTCACAATCAGTACAGTAGAACTTAACAGAACGGTATATATATATATATATATATATATTTATACAAACATAATAGAATAGATAATTAGCTAAATATGCGCAACACATTTCGAGTTATCAGCTTTGGAAAAAGGGACACGTTTAAACGAACTAGTATTTGTATTGCTTTTATAATGACGATATTAACAATAGTTTATACACGACGCAGCTTACCGTTACATTTGCTCGGTGAACAATACGGTGAAATTGAATTTTAGGAATCGTATGCCCGAGCTGGAGCTATTAGACACACTAGCGTTTTATAACTGTGAACTGGAAGTTAAGGTTGGCTCTATCGAAGTGGCCTCTTAGTGTAGAAGTGGTCATCTTTCCTATATGTCTACAAGTGCTTCTACAAGCCTAGCAATAAATTATTAGCGCATAACAGCACCAGTTTCTCACTCACTTACGTGGGAAATTTTAAGATTGGTGGCGCTTGTATTTAGCCGAATTTCACAAGCGGTTCAAAAAGGTCGCGTATGTCGACAGTTTCCATTGATGTTTGACAGTGTCGAAATAGCGGACGTTTTTCAGGACACCGTGCAAGCTTACCCAGTGAGGTAACTAATCAGAGTCATTTGGAGTTCTTCCGCTGGAGCACTAATGGTACAAAAATACATACGTTACTTACATGCCTCGAGGCGAGGGCATGGTACAACTTTAACGTTTCCATTGCATAGCGTATTTTATGCACCTCGCCTACGACGCGGATAGTTGCTGGCCTTAAAACTCTCTTCTGAGGTAAGCATTACGGTCTCCAGAACAGAACTGTTCTCGTAACGCCTTAACATGCTATGGAAGATGATTGCTTCGGCATGCTACCTAACTTACGCGTATCTTTTCAATTCATTTCCAGAGTGAGTCTAAAGCTATCCAAACTATTTAGCGATCCCAAAAGCTTTTTATCACATTTCTACTTGGAATATATGATCAAATAAAGCTAAAAGATGTACGTTTTTCCCCCCAATTCGCATTAAATACAGAACTATTCTATTTGCTATCCAAGCCTGTTGTCGGAAAAAACACAGAAGAAAATTTCCGTTTGTATTGAATTGATATAAGCCGTCCTGTTAAGCTCCGTCCGCGATTCATTGAACGACTTCTACTAGACTGTGGTCCTCTTTGAAAAGACGGCAGGTTTGCTGAAGTCCTGATCTGTTTCGTTGGTGGTTATGTTATGACGTATGTATTATTTAATTACGAAATTACGCACGAGTACATCTTAGCTAACCATATTTTCCAGGGATACTTAACGCTAATATGAAATATATCCATATTTATTGCCGTAATAACGGGCTATCTTATTAAAGTTTGCGGCAGTTCTTAAAAATTAGCATATGAATGAATTGAAACAGGTTTTTAGCAGTGTTTACAATATAAGAAAATTGCAGGAATGCGATAATATTTTTTTTAGCTTATGTTAAACGTTTTATATATATATTGTCTGTGATAGCTATATTGTAGTAGGGCTCGGATATTCGTGTATTTACAGGAGTTGATGCCTGGTGTCATCTTCGTCATACTGTGTATCTTGGCGATCTTGCTCGATTACCTGGGCCATCTTCATAATTAATTGGACCTTTATATACACGTAGGATATTTTCGAAAATTATTTGACCAAGTATTTAAGCCTATATGTTTGTATTAAGGCTCAAATTATTATGCCGGTAATTCCAGCAAAGGTCTATTGTGTCAGTGTATGGGCTCGGTGGGCAAAGCTAAACCCTTGTCCTTCCGGTTAGGGCGACGATGATAAGTGGCGCGGCTTTGCCAAAATTTTAAAAACAGCTCCTTAGTTCGTAGAATCGATTTCCGCAAAACTCGAAAAGAAAGAGGATTAAAGATAACTGTACTACCCGCTACGTCAATGACTTTTAGGGAATCTACTTTTTCAGACACAAACAGCCCGTACTGAAGAACTTTGCACCGATATTGTCATAAAAGAAAGAAAGGCCCTTAATAGTTTATGGGTAATACGTATTCGCACGATTATTAGAAACACACTTGAAATGTATATATATATGGTTAGGTCTCGTCAATGTGAAGCTAAGTGTCACTGTTATTCGACGAGGGTCTGAATGTAAAATTCGAGTAAAATAAAAAAAAAATAGCGAACGAGAGTGATGCGCCACTCTTCTTCAAAGAGGATCCGTGTGATAATGTTCCATGTTTGTGTCCGAGGTCCTCGTCAATTACCTTACGGGTGGCAATCTTATAGCTAAGTATCGAATTGACATAGAAGTGACTGGGGACCGAGCACTCACTGCACGTAGCCGGCCAAACAGGTGCACAGTCTTTAATATCGTGAGTCTGGCGGAGGACAATCCATTCTATTATAGATATTTTCCAGCTGTAGCCCAAAGAAGAAGATTTGCCTAATTCAAGAACAACAATGGCCTATTTTTATTTGTTGATTTAACATTATCTTTAAATATTTTTTTCTTGTTGGTTGATGCTGCTATTGGGTAGATAATTTTTTAGTCGAAATCGCTATAAGTTTTGCCGGTGCACCATGCAAATTTTCGCTGTGGGGCAAAGAGTAGAGGCAGAGCCGAATTTAATCATAACTAAGAAAAAAACGGAACTTTTTTGTATATTGAAATCATTACAGCAGCTGTTCCGGGCTGAATCATAAATCCAGCCCTATTTCTAATTATATGCGTCAGGGTTAACAAATATATCATCAAATAGTGATTCGTCACATATTATTTTTTTCTCATTTAATTATGCAGCGAATGTTTTTTAATATGATTGCTTTCGAAAAAATACTATAGTTCGCCCTTGGCGTTTGCCCCGACTCACTGTTAGCGGTAGAATACGTTTCATCAAATTATCAGGACTGTGCAGTCTTATTACTCTAAACTAGCGTATTATCAGTAGAGTGTGGTTGCCGTGCGTACTATTCTTCATTGTTGTCACCACTAGATATTACAGTCTCGTCGGTGGTCTCTAGATTTTTTTGATCTACAATAAAATGACAGCGCCGGAAAACTCTTCAATCCAATGCAAACCAGAAATGCGTAATTCTACCGTAATACTTTCGCGTTCCCGATTCCTCCTGTCTTCGACTCTATTGAAGAAGCGTGATCTTCAATCATATTTATATCAGTATACGTTCAGAGCAATTCCAAATTGACGACACTATATAGCGTAAGAGACGTTCAACCAACGGAGTTTTATTCCGTTTGATTTGGGCCAAGCAAGTCAATCAGGGTAATCTTGCTACTTTACACTCTTATTTGCCTGAAATATTCAGAAATTTTCATAACATTTAACAGCTTCTTCTCGATGTATGCTCGCAGTGGACTACAATTTTGAACTTAAACAACATAAGCTTTTGGCCAAAACTGATCCTAATAAAAAAAAAAATATATGTATGTAAAGCATATGGCAAGCCATAGATCTTACATAAAAATGAGCTCCAAGGGTTAAAGCTACCTAAGCGTGATCTGCGGTTTTGGTGTTCTTACCGGTAGAACGTAACTAAACACACAATGCTCGCATCTTTTTGACGTTGTCCTAGTGGCATTCCCTCGGACGTCACAAGCATTAACATATATGTGAAAACTTTTTGTTTTAGTTTGTTACGCAGATTTTTTTTACTTTCCACTTACGTTTAAGTTGGAAAAAAATGTTTGCCGTTCTTATCAGCAACACAATTCTGGACAAAAAACTGACATTAGTAGCCTAAACTCCAGATAAAACTATCTAGCTTACATACTAACATCACGACAAGGTTATAGAAGATACTCATATATATATATATATATTAGATAGATATAGAATAATATAGTATAAACAAGCAGCGCAGGGTTTTCGGAAGCGGGAATAACATTTGAGAAAAGGGCAGCCATTTAAGCGTCAACCTAATACTTGGATAATTTATTATAGCACATACTGTATAAAATATAAGCAGGTAAATTTTTTAACAGTTAGGAAACGTCGGTACTCAGTAACCGGTAGAAGAGATAGGTGGTATATCTATTCCAGTTGCAATCACGTACGAGGTTTAGCATGTCGGGAACTCTAAATTGTCACCCCATAAATAAACGTGTGATTGCCTCCTTAAAATTCTGCTGAAGCTGAAACTTCTATGTATCAATACGACCGTTAACAGGTCGCTGCCCGGGGAGCAAAACGGGTAGCTTTGAATTTACAGCTTGAAGGTAGCGTAATAGGAAACTGATACTACGAATTGTAAAAAACGATTGAAAATTCGTGCTCTTAGTCCAATGGCCACTCACCTCGACGAGGGAATCCAATATATTCTTTTCATTTGGTCTTCGTAGACTGCGGGGTAAAATTCACAAAGCTCGTACGAGAAACTTGTTCTTGAAGCATGGATCTTCGCATTAGCTTTAGCATGCATCGACCATTGCCGAAACGATAATATTGCTTCTGGAAGGTGATAAATATTATTTGCAAGAAAACATAAACACTTCATTAATCATGATTTTTGTCGGGATGACCCAGAGCTACTTCTACAACTGAAGCCGGTACGTCTTGCTGAGACAGGTCAATCAGGTTGTCTTGAAGTGCACGTCGACACACAATCGCGGCAAGGCAGCGGAGACGGACAACTACGAAGCATGAAGTGTCCACGTCAAGGCCCATAAGCTGCCACAAACTGGTATCTAACTGACAACACATTCGGGAAATTAATTCTTTTCTAAGGTATTCCGGCAGCCTAGGAGGATCTCTCAACAGTAGGGAAAGTGTGCTTACGTGTTTTCCTGGCAAAATCAACAAGCTAGCTCCCCCCACCAACAGCTTCATGACGGTCCACACAGCTGGCCGACTAGGTTTGTTCACCACTATTAAGGCAAGAATGAATAGGCACTCATCGCGCCACTGCTGGATCTCTATGAAATCCGAGAATAAACGATCGATGTCCATTCGGGCGACGGCATCTGCGAATTCAGATATAAGATCCTGTCCCGGTCTCTGAAGTGGAAGGTACTCGCCGCAGCAGTTGTAAAAGCCGGGTAGGATGGATACCGATGGCTGAGCTACCTCAACTATGAGATCTCGGCAGTATTGCCAAAACCCACTCAAAAAATTCTCCTTCAGTTCTCCGTACCGTCCGCAGAGCCGCGGTTTCAAATATGCGGCGGTATCTAACACGAAATACTTCATGCGTGCTAGCTCATGTAAATCATTGACGTGTAACGACTGGAAGAAATTCGAACAAATGATATCAGAAGAGTATTTGAGCCTGGAACCGGCTAATAGTATTTGCCAGGTAGTTTCCACAAAATCGCCAGCGGTCATTTGCTTCTCTAAGCGGTCGATATCTTCAGAAGATTCAAAGAGTCTCCATTTACCATACGATGTCCATTTCGAATCGGTACGGGCGCCCGGCCTGAACTCTAGAGACTTTCGAAAGTACCTGAGCTGTCCGAAAAGTTCCCTGCTGCGAAAATAACACGATACTTCACATAATTCAAATATGTCAGCAAGCCTATGGCGTCGTTTCCACGTCACCGCAGGGCAACTGACACTCATCTCAACGACGGCCGATATGTCGCCTTCGCACGCTGCGAAATGTATATCACCAATGTCAAATCGGACAAATTTCTGCAAAACTTTAATGTGGTCGATCGTCATGTAGTGGAGAAGCTCGGACATTGGAGGCAATTGGTTTCGGCCAAATTTAATTAGCGGCTCAAGCAAACGCCACAGGAATATCCTATCACCACGTGTCATGCTCCACATGACAAATGCTTTCCTTGATACTTTGTAGCCATGTTTAGTAAGATACTGAAGTACGGCTGGTTGGGGCTCGTTTGCACCCAGCGCCGAGATCACAGCGCACAGATGGCAATCGCTTGACGAAGTGCTTACTTGTGGCAACCTGTTTAATCGCAGTGTTTCAATTGCATAGCGTACTTCATCCAGCTCGGCGTTGAAGCATATTGCTGACAGAAGCTTATGGCCACGTTTGCCAGATTCGAAATAAGCGTCGAGTGCTTTGTGAGGCACCAATTCTAGCGTTGTCTTAACGTAAACAGGTAGGTGACCGTGATTATTGACTATTGTAGAAAGATCACCGAGCTTTTTCAAATGCTCTATGGCAGGGATTTTATGATCGGATCGAATGCCGGATGCGGTTGATGATGTGGTACGAATCTGCTTTTTTGGCTGTAGCATTTGACCAGTAACCGACGTATACGGCGACACTGCATTGGTCTAGCTAAATGTACATTTTCACATGCGCCGATAGCAACAACGTGGCCAATCGTCAGTTACCGCTTAATTTCACTAAACGAGTTTGTTCAGTGCTAGAAGATTTAACAGATGTATTTTTGTTATGGTACCGTATCGTTCTTGCCGAAGGGGAACAAACAACACTGCAGGAAATCTCTTCTTCTAACAGGGGTACATGAAAATCACCACAATGCTCATGAAAGCAAGCTTAGCTAATTCTTCTAGTATTTAAGAATCGAAGGTAAGCATCAGATGGTGTCGCGCGAGCTTTTGTCGTTTGTACGAGAGCTGGCGAGGGGGATTCGACACATCAACAGACGCATGCTTCATTCTCCTAAACCGGTCGAAAGACGCCCGCTATAAAACGTTTGTTTCGCTTAATATGATCTAGAACGTATATTTACCCGAACTAATTGATATGATCATGGTGCATGTGTAAATTTACACTTGTTAACCTTATCAATTTATAGGGTCGGTATGGAGACTGGAGCAGAGCTGACGTTCGACACTGCCGCCTCTGCCACGTTAAGTTCGTGATTTTGATCTATCTATAAAGATTTTGCCGTTTGTTTTGAACGGACAAGTCCCGCAGGTTTGCTACAGTGAGCAGTTGAAATGTTTGCTGTACATACATAGGTACGTATCGATACATATAGTGGTTCATCTCGAGTGCGGACCTTTGGCTTAGACGACAGCTCGAAATAAACCATACGCTGCGCGTGATGGCTGCACATGAAACCTCCATCAGCTGTCTTATCACATTGCACGCAGTCGACTCACTGTATCATGTGATCGCATACAGTCAGGTCTTCATTTACAACCATTTCATGAAACTGACATATGAGGGCTAGCAACACCGACGATGCAATTCCGCTCGATAAGGATAATACAAAATAGGATGCACGCGACCTCTCGGCACGCAAGGGCCAACTGTTTAAACACTAGCACGACCTAAATTCGACTTAAACCTTGCGCTTGCCTACATAGCCAATGCTTCTTAACTTAGGTGTGGTGCAGATATGATGCACGTTTAAATATCGTCAGAGGCGGTCCGGAAGCGGAAAAAAGGGTTATGCATTTTTGATCGTTTCTCGATCCGACAGTCCCCTTCCCATGGCCATCTACTTGTTGGGCAATCAGCCGATCCCGACTCCGCCTGAAAGTCATAGAGCCGATGTTCTGGTCTAGTCTTTCTTCACTGCGATCAATAACTTCGTTTCGGGGAAGTCGTCGGCGTAGCAACTGAGAACGAGTTTCGCCCAAAGAAGAACGATTGGAGAAACGAACATAACATTAATACTTGAACCCCTTTAGGGGTCTGATGTGGCCATGCTCCTATAGATGTAGCGCAATAAAGCAAAAGGTATTCGTTATCGCACGTTTATGTAAGCCGCTTTGAGTTCATAATTTGTCGCTGTCAAATTTAGGCAATTATCCAAGACACCCCCGGCTGAGACATAGCGGACGGAGAACAATTACAGATCAGTATCGAATTAATGCTCATACGTATAGTCTATACTAGTGAGAGTATTTATTTGAATAGAAATAAGGAAACCAAAGTGTCTGATCAATTTCATGCAACCTCGAGCATAGTAGCATTTAAATAGTTGGTTACTTGATTTATACAGCTAAAGTTAATTGTGTGCAGTGGGAAGTTAAATCAACCATGACTCTCGGCAAAAACGCTCCTACGTTTCGAGCTTTACGTCCAGGATCGCCGTTTGCCGCTCCATCACACGGCTGACTTCCAGCACACAAAACCCCGCCATAGATAAACTTCAATCTGGACCGCAACGTATTCGTTATAGTGGCAGTAAATCTGTTTACGTTAGCCAATAATCTTCAACAGGGACTGACGTATATGACGTAAATTGTTGCACCTTTAAAATAATAGACGTTCTAGTAGTAGAGCGCATGTGATCGTATCCTCGTTTCACAGCGGAGTTCGTCGAGTGGGTCTTTTTATACGCGTATTTACCTTTAGTGCCTTATAAATGTAACGTTAAAAGACTTCTGAAATGAACATAAATACGTGTGGCGCCACAGTGCTTCCCCGCCGCAGAGAAAAATTTTCCAATCCAACGTACCGGGCGGCCATTTTTATCTATACTGTAAATTCATGATGATCTAACATCGAAAATAGAACACGAATGTATTTATAAAAAACCGGCTATATCAATATATTGATATTAAATGTGAGATCGTGTGTATGTATTGTTAACACGAAATCAACCACAGTGATCATTTTAGCTGCTTGTTATCATAGAAGTTGATACATTTATTAGCCTAACATAGAAATCTACGTCATTCTAAATCTTTATTTAACTATAAAAGTCATGATTCTTTTTTATAGATAGGTTATTTGTGTTATTATGAAACAGGTATACAACGAATGTCTGTAAATTTAGTACTAAAGACAATCGGTACCTCTGGTTAACTACTTATTCAACGTGGACTTCTTTCCATTTTTTTGTTTACTATGCATGACAAACAAATTGGTATTAGTTGAAATTTTTCATGTGTATTGATGAGCATCCTATCCATCTTGATGTCGAAAGAGTTCTCTTCCGCATTGATTCCAGACGAGACTGTCGGCAAGCACAGCTGCGCTAGATAGCAAGCTCTGGGAACGCCGCAAGTCAGTCCTCGTGCTTCGTAGCCTAGATGCAGGCTGGGGCGTGCATTTCCTACCGCTTCTGATAAATAAGTAACCAGATTCACGATGCTAGAAGTATCTACAATCACGTAAGGGTCCTCCGTTCTTCTTTTAGAGGCAAAGTGATGCTGTGAAGGAAAGGTAGGGGGCGCTAAATTGGCAATGTGATAAGATAGAAAATATCGCCAGAACTGGATTGCTCGGATAACTCGGCCTGGATTTGGACCAAGTAGAATTACAGCCAACGTCACCCTCCATACGGGATGGTGTTGACCTAGCTCCGTTAGCCGACCAGCTAGAAGCATAGTCGCTAAAAAAATCTTCGTGTTTCGGAAGTGCAAATGGCCAGTACATGTAATACTTTGTATGCACATGGAAAAAAGATATCCCTAGAGAATTGCTCGGGTCACGTACACGACTGGAAGGGCCGCGCGGGACGCAGGCCGGAATGCATAAGTTGTCCTTCTTCGCACAATCGGTGTGCACTAAAACAGTGTAGGAGGTATGGTAAAAGTATTGGAAAAATGTGAGTTGTTTGGTGGAAAGCAAGCGAATGTATAAGCTCAAATCATAAAACTGTAAAAAAGAGGTAGCATCTATGCCTAGATGTTAAGTATCATAAAAATCGTATCTCGTGTGTGGAAAACGCATTTTTGCCACGTCTGAGCTTCTAACAAAGCGATTTAAAATCAATAAAACGTTGCGCAAATTACGGTCGTGGAACTACACTTAAAAATGTGTGATAAATTAGCAAAAATACATAGTTAATAAAAGCAAAGGAAAGCGAAGAGCTTCAAGTAACTATAATTGTGTCAACTTCTATGTTAGCTGATTCCTTATTGCTCAGAATCGTTTAATAAACAGGTAAATAGATCGATAATAAACTTCTGAAAAAATCGCTAGTGGGTACTCACAAACACTGAACAGAACATTCACATAAAGGAATCAGCTCTCGAAAATAAAAGCCGCCATAATTCAAAAACTTCTTACAAATACTTTAATAAAGTATCTTTACACGTAGCTCTTTATGTAGATAATGATAGAACTACTAACAAAATAGACATAAGAAATCCCCCAAAACAGTATCTAGTTATTGCAGTACACTAATCCAATTCAAGTTCTCACCTTTCGTGGTATTAACATTTGCCAAGTAACGTTTCGTGTATTTAAAGTTAGAGTAGGAAATTAGAAACCCATTGCTTTGTTTTGGTTTACTTATACAAGTTTACGCTGTATAAAGTAAATTGTATGTTGTACGAGATATTCGCACCCAGACTATGGAAAATCTTGCTTATTATTACTTTATCCTTGGGGTGAGATTTACTCAGGACGCTTATAATCAGTGATGTTTTTTCTTTTAGGAAATTTCTCGGGCCTTAGGAACGCAAGCATTGTTTGTCGCCAGTATTCGACAGCGTCAGTGATCGTAGTACGTCCAGGAGAAACGACGTATGAAATGCAATGCAGGATAACAGTTAGAGGTCGTTATTGTTAGCCCTACTTTAATTTACTTGAAATGATGCGCACTACTTTGCCACTGGCAACGTTCGCAGTCTCCGTCTCAGTGGGTTCAGAGCCTTTTTTGAGTTCCAAATAAGTATAAACAAGGGTTTCTTAGTTACACTATTTTTGCCTGGCTCTATTTATTTACGTACTTTGATTCGACGCAACGTACTTCCAGTAATGTTCTAATGTGCCCTAGCACACCGTAAACTGTAGACGCTCACAATTATTTTCCTAGTGCTCATTAACCGCCGAGCCCAACGATCCCTAGAAAACAGGTTTTCTCAGGAAAAAACATTCCCTGAGAAGGTTTGACATCTTTTTTTCATTTGTGACGGTTTTCATATGCAGATTGCTTCATTCGTTCATTATCACTAGCGTAGTACTTTGTGTGCCCACTCCGTGCTTAACACCTAGTTTCTGTCAGCCACTCAAAGGACAGATGTTTCCTTGTTTCGTAATTATACAGTCGCGATAGTCACGTGTTTCGATTTATTTATTTTGTTTTTTACTTAAACGGTTTTTTTTTGCATTCGAGCTGCTATTTGCTCCAACATATATGTACAAAACAACAACAACAACCAAAAAAAAAATCAGCCTTTATGTCAGCTAAATATACTATACAGCATTAGATCGATTAAGTTACCTTAATAACTCGTGAGTAAAAGGCTGTGACGTGTAGCTAAAAAAAAAAACAAATGCAATTAGGCCATGGGCTCCTGATAACAAAGTGTAAACCTGACCCAAAAGTGAGAATAAATGATGATAATTGATAACAGCCCTACTGTATCTCTTTTACGTTATTTTTTAGAAATTTTTACCTCAGTCGGTCGTTTGAGCGTTCCTCCGAAAGGTGAAACTTAAAACTAATACATATTTTTCATGGACGGCTTGGACAGGGCTAATTTTTTTATCAGCCCGAGCGAACCGTACGTAGAAACTATGGCCTTAAAATAAATGTACCAGCATAACTATGAGTTTAAGGTGCGTCCACGAAAAGGCAAATCGCATGCGGTGATAAAACGACAACAGTTAGTCAGGAACGACTCACCTGTATCAGTTCATTCGGTTCGATAAACTCAAGAATGGATGTTACTTTGCCAAGCCAATCAGCTTAAGAAGCAGTAATAAAAGATTCGAGAGTCAGCGTCGCAGAGAACGCTGGGGAGCCTGAATACCAGAAGCTTATTTTTGCCTAAGAAGCACTTTAGCATTGTACTCCCACTCACTTCTGCTGCCCACCCTACTGCCATTTCGTTCCCTTTAGCTTACCGTCACGGCCATTATGATCAAAAGAACTATTTTACCACTCACTGAACATCGCTTGCGGTTCTGAAGACTGGTTGTGAGCTCTGGAGTGCATTTGCGTTCAATAAGTAGCTCACTATCTTGGACAAATACAAAACTACTTATAAGTCGATTCGGGTTTCAGATGCGAAAACATTCTCACTTTTTACTGGTTGACCCAAATCGGCTTAGTCGGAAATAGCAGCTAAGGGAAGCGTTACGTGGCGAGCAGGTATATAGACCATACGGTGCCCACACGGACCTGATATACGGCATAAGTATACTGAAAGGACCGCGATGAAAATTGTGCCGGGCAGTTAAGCGATGCCTCGGATGAAAAGCATAATATTCACAAAGGCTTTAACGTTGGCTGGACGACTGGGTTAGAAGTTATTACTACGGAACAACTATACCTATTCTTAAGGTTTTTTTGAGCTGCCTTGCGAAGTAGACATGTATAAGTGTTTCGGGATCGGTGATGGATGAAGGCCCGGCCATTCTCGAAAGTAGCTTATGCCGAAGTCATATCAATGCCCGTTCGGAGACGAACGGAGACGTTCGGAGGCCAAATATGCACGAAGAGCGTGAGCCTCCCAATAATTGCGTCAGCAAACCACCAAAAACGCCAATTGTTTTGAGATGGAAGGGGCAAAATAAGCGGGAGTCGTGCTTAATCGTACGTTTGCGTCTGCAGGCGTATTCATTAAGCTGCTTCGCTCATTTCTTTGGTCTTCGTAGCTTTGGGCATCAGCCTATGATCTAATTGGAACATCATTGATTGTTCCGTTCCTGGATAGAATGACCTCTAGATACCAATTTTTCAAATACCAAACAAACGCTTACTGGCGACATCTTTAGAAGAAAAATATTCTATTTTATATTGAAAATTGCATTATAATAACGGA